CAGACATAGAACAAGACTCACTGTTTCATCATTGCATATTGAGTGGATCTGGGTGCCAAACATGACCGCAGTGAACGTGAAGAACAGGAGGCCCTCAAGGCACAGGAAGACCAACAGGATTACAGTTATGGGAGGTGAGAAGTCGCTGCACTCTGGGGATGAGAAGGAGGTGGGTCAGTGCACCAGCACCCTACACCACAGGGAGGGAGCCCTACACTTACACACCCTGACCCCTGCACTAAGTTTCCTGGAAGGAATGTGCGCCCTTGGAGAGTGCCCTCGAGCTCTCCAAGAGGCTGGCACACAGCCTGCCCAGCACACAGCCTGCCCACCCTTCCTAGCCAGCAACCTCTCAAGTCCACCTTCCCTGAAGTTCTTCCTGCACTGGGGGCTGGAGCCAGGGCTTGACAAATGCCAGGCAAGTGTTTTTCCACTGAGCTCTACCCCTGCTCTCTTTATGAGATAAGGTCACGCTAAGTTGCCTGGTTTCCCGGAGGTGTGGGGCTGTCCTGAAGGACACTCCTGTACCTACACTGTGGGGCTACTGTCACAGGAGTTCAGCCCCTCTGCCTTGCTGCAGCTGCCCGTCAAGGGCCGTCTGGATCACACCTCTCTGGATACCCCATCAGGCCACGCCAAGGCAGCTGTGAATCATGACTGACTAAGCCAGCCAGAAAGCGAACACAGGACTGACGGACTGGTGGCAATCCTGTTCGCTTCTAGTGTCTAAAGTCTGCAAGCAGCTAAAATGACCTATCAGAAATTCGTCAGTCATGCCTTGAGTGAGGGATCCAGCAAGGGCTCAGCAAATAAGCAGGATAGCAGGGGTGAAACTACCACACTCCGGTCTTAAGGAATGTCAGCTTTTTACCAGCACAATGGCTTATACCTGGCATTCCAACACCTAGGAAGCTGAGGTAAAAGAATCATCCCTGAGTTCAAGGTCAACCTGGGATACAAAGTTAGACCCTGTTTAAAACAAAACAAAACAACCCCCAAACAACAAACAAACAAACAAACAACTACAACAAACCAAACTCAGGTTATTACAAATAAGGTTGTTTGTGTGTGTGTGTGTGTGTCCCTGCATCCAGGAAACTGATTCTCCCTTGGGGACCCCCCCCCAACTGCGAAACTTTCAGGAATGACACACAGAGAGTCAGTTACCTGTCCACTGCCCTCGGACACAGGAGATGAACTGAAGCCCACAGAGAATCAGAGCATGGACTGAAGACAGAGCTATGTACATCTAGAAGGACGGAGACGGGTTAGCTTTTTAGAACAATTTGTCATCCTACAAGCAGAGGCTGGCTGCTCTCGCTCTCTCTCTCAGCCCGACTCTCTCTCTCTCACACACCTCCCCCCCCCACACCCACGCACCCATGGAAGAGTGCTGGCGGCCATCCAAGCCCACAGTGGATCAAGCCCGATGGTCACATGGCAAACAAGCAGGGAATCGAGCTCTCCAGCTAAAGGAAGGCCCTGTGTATGACAGTAGTGACTGAGAGGGACAGACAAACCCACAGGTGATGTAATACAAGTAGCAGACAGTCACCACTGTGCCCTGCATGTACCAACACAGCCAGCAGCTCTGAGGCTAAATACCTCCCCAGCTCCAGTGGGTGCAATTTTCAGAATTGCGTCCAGTTCAACACAATCTCCATACAAAGTTTCCACTCACCGTGAAGAGCACGAAGAATCTCTGGTTCTTTTCTCCTACGCAGTTGTTCACCCACGGGCAGTGATGGTCCATTTTCCGAATACACCTTTTGCAAATACTGCAAAGGAGAGTGCACAGTTCAGTACCTTGTGCTCTGGGGAAACCAGTGACAGACACCAAATGAAATCCAAGGTGGGCCGGGCAGTGGTGGCGCACACCTTTAATCCCAGCACTTGGGAGGCAGAGCCAGGCGGATCTCTGAGTTCGAGGCCAGCCTGGACTACCAAGTGAGTTCCAGGAAAAAGGCGCAAAGCTACACAGAGAAACCCTATCTCAAAAAACCAAAAAAAAAAAAAAAAAAAAAGAAAGAAAGAAAGAAAAAAGAAAGAAATACAAGGTGGGAGAGGCCGGGGGACATCTTTGCACAGCACTCTGCCGACACCTGTGACGAGTCTCAAACTGGCTGGCCTCAAATTCCCGACGATCCTCCTGCCTTAGCCTCCTAAGTGCTAGGATTCCAAGTGTGTATTGGGCCTTTTCCTACTCTGTCCCTCATGCCTGACTCTGCTGGTAGGTGCGTTTCTGAAACAGCTTACATCACTGACTGCATCCAGTGAGCACTGTGCAGCAGCAGTTGGCTCCTGGTCTCTTACTATCCACTCTGTCGGATGTAGTTTCTCTCATATCCCCTGGTGTACCTGCCAACCTAACAGCTTCCAAAACATTCCCAGGTCACCTCCAATGGATGGCAGGAGTAACTTCCTGCCACAGCAGTGCACTCCCTTTAAATGCACAACGGAGTGACTCCTGCACTTGTGGAACTGTGAGGTGACCCCCCAAGAGGAATTTGTGTCCACAGCCAGTCACTCCCCATGCCAGCCCCAGCCCAAGACCACTACTTCTCTCTCGATACCATGCACCCGTGTTTGCTTTCTGGCCTAGCTGGCCGTAGCTTCCCACTTCTCCACAGCGACAGGTGGACAAAACCTCTTACACCGTTTGTCCTCCCTGCAGACCGCTGATCTCAGGCCCGGCTCATCTTTATTTGCTCCCACTTGCAAATCCCAACCCATTAGGAGGAAGACACTTCAAGGGGAGGTCACACTCCATCTTTGTGCACACACACAGAGACGCAGTCCAGGATGAGGAAGCCCAACAGATTCCCTGGGATGGAGAAGTATCCCAGGTTCACCCTCCATACCTGATATCAGCACCCCCAAGGAACAGCAGCCTGTTTAAAACCCAGGCCTGGCACAGCAGGCAAATGACAGACTGCAGCAAAGGCCAGTGGCCGGGGCCCAGGAGAGGCTGCCATTGAAATGCACGTTTGTGGGCTGGACTGTTGCTCCTCCTCCTCATTAGTCAGTGTCAGACACCATGTCTACAGGAGCCTGCATCTGGTCTGCAGCTCCTGCCAGCCAGGAAGAGCAGCGACCATACAGAGGCCTGCTTCTCTAGCTACGACATCCATGTGCCAGCAGCCCATGACAACCAGGCCAGGAAAACAAGTGGACACCTTGTCACTTCCTCTGGCTGCTGTCTACTTGTCCCCCGCCACAGGGAAGGGCCCTGAGGTCTGCACCGTGTGCACACTCCCCAGACTACAGGTGCTGGCGGGGCTCTGCAGAGAGCGGAGGCTGTACCTGCAGTGGTGGGCACGCTCCGGCTTGATGCAGCAGCACTTGGGGCACTTGTAGATGACCTCGCCAGGCTTCAGCTGCAAGCTCTCCATGTACTCCTTGGTGGCATTGCCTTTGGGGACAGCCCCCTGTGCACACAGATCGACAGTTGGGTGAAAGGAAGGCAAAACAATACAATAAAACAAGGCTCACACCATAATCCTAGCACTTGAGGGGCGGAGGCAGGAGGATTGCCACTAGTCTGAGGCCAGCCTAATCTATATAGTGAGTTCCAGGCCAGCTAGGGCTACACAGGGCCACCCTCTTAACCACTCTGGCCCCCTCCTCTACAAAAAAAAAAAAAAAAAAAAAAAAGTCAGTAAAACATGCCCATAATCCCAGCACTGGGGAGGCAGATGCAGAAGGATGGCTGAATTTGAACCCAGCCTGGGCTATATAGTGAGATCTTGTTTCAGGAAAACAGAGGCTTTTGAAGCCCCAAGTGTACTGAGTTTGAGGAAGGGAGTTAGTGCGGCCAGAGGCTCCACAAGCACACCAGGCCACTGGCAGACTGCACCACAGGGTGAGCTCTCCGACACAGTTCTGTTCATAGGCTAGCTGTGGATAGACAGGCTAACTGTGGATAGACAGGCTAGCTGTGGACAGACTAGCTGTGGATAGACTAGCTGTGGACAGGCTAGCTGTGGATAGACTAGCTGTGGACAGGCTAGCTGTGGATAGACTAGCTGTGGATAGATAGGCTAGCTGTGGACAGGCTAGCTGTGGATAGATAGGCTAGCTGTGGACAGGCTAGCTGTGGACAGGCTAGCTGTGGATAGATAGGCTAGCTGTGGATAGATAGGCTAGCTGTGGACGGGCTAGCTGTGGACAGGCTAGCTGTGGATAGATAGGCTAGCTGTGGATAGGCTAGCTGTGGATAGGCTAGCTGTGGACAGGCTAGCTGTGGACAGGCTAGCTGTGGACAGGCTAGCTGTGGATAGGCTAGCTGTGGATAGGCTAGCTGTGGATAGGCTAGCTGTGGACAGGCTAGCTGTGGACAGGCTAGCCAAGGCCACTGAATCAGACAGGAGAGGAAGCAAAGGCTATGCTGTGGATCCCAACATGGCAGGGAGGCAGCCTGCGAGGCCAGGCAGCCTTGCCTCCACCGTAGATGGCAATATAAGGGTACAACAGTGGTTCTCAAACTTCCTAATGCTGGGACCCTGATGTTCCTCCTAATATGATTTTGTTTCATTTCATAACTGTAATTTTGCAACTGTTATGAACCGTATTCCATCAGGCTGTCTGACAGGCATGCTGGAATCCACTGGTTTACAGGGCGCTGCCCAGCTAGCACTCCTCTCTTGTCACCTCCGTGGGAGCAAACCGGCAGACACAAGCACAGGCCACTCTACATGCACAGGCCGGGGTCCCTGAGCCAGGGCCGCAGTCAGTGCTGTAAAGAAGCTCAGAACTTTCTTGGAAGGAACACACATGGCCTCATACACCTGCAGTGGCCGCCTGTGGGGACTGCTCTCACGTGGCCACCTGTGGGGACTGCTCTCACGTGGCCCTCAGATTGCCCTTGCCAGAAGGAAGCCCCAGCCACCTCTCCCAGCTCTAGGGTGGCCACAAAAAGAGTATGTCAAGCTTCTGAGAAGCAGCTGCCCCTAGCCTGGAAGTCTGAACTGAGCCTTCACGGCATCAGGAACCGAGGAGCTCAAGTCCAGGTCTGCCTTCACTCAGAGGCCAACAGGACTCTGCTCCAGAGACGAGCCCACCACACTCTTCATGTCTGCACATATCTGTGCAGTGCTGTGCGCTGCTCCTTGGCAGCATCAAGACATGCCAACGTTCTAAGCAGAGATGCGTGTACTCACGGGGTCAGTGAGCATGGTTCTGAGGTGGGACGACAGTGCGAGCACCGCCAAGCAGTTGAAGATGACTCCATTCACCACAGAGTACCAGAAGTCTTTGGAAGGCAGCAACATGACGAAGGTTACCACGAAGTCTGCATAGACGACGAGAAGCCATGTCATAACAGCACAGACCATGCCACAGCCATCACGGATGAACCACACCCTGTCTGCCATGTCGGCCTCGGAGGACGCAGAATCGTAAGTGTCATTGTCGGTCAGGAGAGGGTGATGCTCGATGTCCCGGAGCCTGTGTCCTGACGGCTGCATGATTCCCTGACACACCCTGCAGAGGGGTGAGAGCTGGTGAGGCTCCTGGGCAAAACCACGCATACACATACACATTTAACACACGTGCCAAGTCAGCTCAAATACACCGAGCAGAAAAGGACCTAAGTACCAAACTAGCCGAGGGCTCAATCTCTGCCTTCTTCACTGTCCTGCTGTGTGAGGCCCAAGGGGTCAGTGTGTTGTTTGCCTGTGCATGCAAAGCTGTCACCTACCACACACAGAGATGACGGAAGGCACCAGCTGTACAGATCACAGCGTCCAGCACACATAGAGGACCCCGGTGGACACTGCTGTCCCCAGTGACCTGAGCTGTCTGTGCTCTGGACAGGGCTTTCACCCTTCAACCCAGACGTCACCAAGCATAGGGAAGGAAGCATGGGCAAACAGTGCTCTGTCTCCCCTTCCTAGAGACTCACCAGGCTGAGCTTGTACCTGGCTGCCCTCCACCACCTCAGCTTCCTCCTCCTCCCCAGGTTAATGCAGAAGGTGGGCAACAGCTTTTGCGGACAGCTCCTGTTTTCGCCTCTAGAGTCCTCAATCACACGCTGCTTCTAACATGTGATTTCTAACCTTCATAAGGCCTCCTGTTTATGAATCCAGTCTTTCTTTCCAGACTTTCCCAGTACTTCCTGTGGCCTCCAACTGCCAAGAGCACAGAGACCAGAGGAGCTGAAGAACTGGACTCGAGCAGGAACTACTCTGAGGCGGCGGTGGCGGCGGCGGCGCCTGGCCTGCCGGCTCGGCCTTCTCTTATCATGTTTGCTAAGGGTGGGGACGCTGGGGACAAGTACAGTGAGGGAGGGAGAGTCCGGTTGTGTCCTGGCCTTGGGACATGGAAGGGAAACGGTGCTGGGCACCAAGGTGAACCTGCCCCTCCACAGAAGCACCGAGGTGGGCAAAGGGGGTGGGGCTGTTCTTGCGGCTCCACCAATCAGCAGCATGGCTTTTCAAGTCCGGACACACATTTTTTTTTTTTTTTTTTTTTTGGTTTTTCGAGACAGGGTTTCTCTGTGTAGCTTTGCGCCTTTCCTGGAACTCACTTGGTAGCCCAGGCTGGCCTCGAACTCACAGAGATCCGCCTGGCTCTGCCTCCCAAGTGCTGGGATTAAAGGCGTGCGCCACCACCGCCCGGCCATTTTTTTTTTCTTAATTGTAAGTGGAACACACTTGCCAATGGGTGTCCCCACTGGCAGAGTACAGAACTTTGACACGCAGCACAGACCAGGGCAAGAAGACACCATTGTTTCCACAGCCAGAGAAGAATCAGAGCAAAAGATCTTCCGGGCGATGTCGGGTACCATAGAAGACAGAAGAATGGGGACATGTGCCCGGGCCAGGGCTGCCCTCCTCATGCCCTCATGCAGCTTTCCCGGGCAGGCCCCTGTAAGGCACACGGGACCTTGCTTCTCCTGCCCGCAAACACCCTGCACAGCTCCTCCTTCCTGGACACTGGGACTGGGGTCTCAGAACCTCAGGCACCACCGGCTGAGCCTGGTTCTGAAGGGCCAACAAGAGGCTGGATGGCTCTGCCTCATCTGAGATCTCAGTGTGTCCACCAGCCAGGTTCTACCCCCCACCTCACCTGCCCCCTGCTTGACATCAACATGCTGAGACAGAGGACACTTGCACGCAGCAAGAGCTGTCTGCTTAAAGACAGATATGACAGGAAAGGCCCCTCACAGATCCAGCACTCTCCTGTGACTCCCACTATCCTTCTTTTTAAAACGTGATTTCACTGTATAGCCCTGGCTGGCCTGGAACTGGCTCTGTGGATTAGACCTGCCTTAGTCCCACAGAGACCTACCTGCCTCTTCCTCCTAAGTGCTGGGATTAAAGGCAGTGTGACAGCACACCCAGCGAATATCCAATTCTGTAAACAAACTGTAACTGGGCCCAGGAACATCAAGGCCTCCAGCTGAAGGGTTCTACAGGCCAGGACCCCTTTGTTTCCTGGTTTCCTCTGCTAGGCATGCTCTGTGAGGAACAGCCTGGCTAACATGGAGGGACAAGAGGTTGTGGGGTCAGAATTCCATGGTTTCTATCTGAGCTCTCCCAGGAGGGCAGGGCGCTGCAAGTCACACAGGGGCACAGCCACTGAGTGGTGCCAGCTCTGCTGTGCTTCCCGGCTGTGCAGTGCTTCCCCGCTCTGCTGTGCTTCCCCGCTCTGCAGTGCTTCCCGGGTCTGCTGTGCTTCCCGGCTCTGCAGTGCTTCCCCGCTCTGCTGTGCTTCCCTGCTTTGCTGTGCTTCCTGGGTCTGCAGTGCTTCCCGGGTCTGCAGTGCTTCCCCGCTCTGCTGTGCTTCCCCGCTCTGCAGTGCTTCCTGGGTCTGCAGTGCTTCCCGGGTCTGCAGTGCTTCCCCGCTCTGCTGTGCTTCCCCGCTCTGCAGTGCTTCCCCGCTCTGCAGTGCTTCCCGGGTCTGC